TGCTACCTCTGCCTCCTGGGTTCAAGCAATTCTCCTGTTTCAGTCTCCTGAGTACCTGGGACTACAGGCGTGCGCTATCATGCCCAGCTAAGTGATATTTGTATTTTTAGTGATTTTTGTATTTTTAGTAGAGATGAAGTTTCACCATGTTGGTCAGGCTGGCCTTGAACTCCTGACCTCAAGTGCTCTGCCCATCTTGGTCTCCCAGTGCTGGAATTATAGGTATGAGCCACTGCACCCAGCTAATCCCAGAACTTTGGAAAGATCAACTGACGCCAGGAGCCTGAGACCAGCCTGGGCAAAATAGTAAGTCTCCCCATCTCTACAAAAAAAAAAAAAAAAAAAAACAAAAAAACTTACTTCCCTACTACTGGACTTATGTGACAGATTCACATCTGAGTCTGTTCCCAGACTGGAAGGCAGTGGCACAATCACAGCTCACTGCAGCCTCAACCTCCCAGGCTCGGATGGTCCTCCACTTCAGCCTCCCAAGTAACTAGGACCACAGGCACTTGCCACCACACCTGTATAATTTTGGTATTTTTTTGTAGAGAGTTTTACCATGTTGCCCATGTTTGTTTCCAACTTCTGGCCTCAAGTGACTGGCCCACCTCAGCCCCCAAAGTGTGGATTACAGGTGTAAGCCACCACGCCTAACTGAAATTTTGGTCTTTAAAGCAATTTTTAGATTTTTAAGACTTTTTCTTTTTTTTGAGAGTTGCCCATGCTGGAGTGCAGTGGTGCAATCTCAGCTCACTGTAACTTTGGCCTGCAGGTTCAAGCGATTCTCCCGCCTCAGCCTCCTGAGTAGGTGGGATTAATGGTGTGTACCACCACACCCAGCTAATCTTTTGTATTTTTAGCAGAGGTTTTTGCAATGTTGGCCAGGCTGGTCTTGAACACCTGGCCTCAAGTGACCTACCATGCCCAGCCCAACATTACTTTACTTAAATTCACAGGTGAGGCCTGGGAAAGGGCGAGGGGATAGCATTCTACATGCAGCTGTCTAATGGTCTGGATTAATAAAAATCTCCTTTAAGCACTCACCTACGAACACTGGCAATGGTCTCTCTGTTTTTGAAACGACTAAAACGGGCTGTGTAGTTTAATGTTTTCATGAAGACTTCTGAGAGTTCTTGTTCATCCTCTGCGCTCTCATTCTGCTGCTTTCGATGTTCCAGAAGCATATGAACTTCTGAATTTAGAAGTGTCTCAGCTGTTTCAAACTCTATTTGTGAGAAGCATAAATGGCAGCTGAAAATACTCCTTCAAAAGTTTGATTCTAAATGTTCATTATGCATTTGAACATTTCTCTGCCCCTGCAGAAATCCAGTGGTTTCCTACTCCACATTTCTTTTTTTAAACTTTTTTTGAGACAGTCTTGCTTCGTCGCCCAGGCTGGAGTGCAGTCACGTGATCTTGGCTCACTGCAACCTCTGCCTCCCAGGTTCAAGCGATTCTCCTCTCTCAGCCTCCCGAGTAGCTGGGATTACAAGCATGTGCCACCACGCTCAGCTAATTTTTTTTTTTAGTAGGACAGGGTTTCATCATGTTACTCAGGCTGGTCTTGAACTGCTGACATTGTGATCCACCCGCCTCAGCCTCCCAAAGTGCTGGGATTACAGGTGTGAGCCACTGCTCCCGGCTTTTAAACTTTTATTTTAGGTTCAGGGTACATGTACAGGTTTGCAATATAGGGGAAATGGGTGTTATGAGGGTTTGGTGTAGACGATTTTGTCATCCAAGTGATAAGCATAGTACTGATAGGTAGTTTTTCAACCCATACCACCCATTCCCTCAACTAGGCCTCAGTGTCTGTTGTTCCCTTCTTTGTGTCCACAGGTACTCAAAGTTTAACTCCCCCTTATAAAAGAATGTGAGGTACTTGGTTTTTTGTTCCTGTGTTCATTTGCTTAAGTTAATGGCCTCCAGCTCCATCCACGTTGCTGCAGAAGACAGGATTTTGTTCATTTTAGCTTATCTGAGCTAGTTTCTGACACCAAAAACCTGACCTAGACATGCTATTAAATAATGACACAGACTAGTTACTTATTTCAAGAGTATACTGACAATTACTTCCCTCTAGCCTGTATCAGCTCATCATCTTTCTATTTCAATAATGCTAGTATTATACTCTCAATTTTAAGAATTGTTACGTATTAAATAGGGCCAAGTGTCTGGAAATAAATATTAATAATGTACCCCAAATTCTATTTTTGTACCCACACAAATGTTATAAGCAATTCTTAAGAATTTGGTTTGAGAGAAAAAGAAACCCAAGGCTCCTTTTCATAATATATGGCTAGCTACCTTCTACATTTCCAGAATAGTTCTGTTAAAAAATTCAGTTACCCCTTGGGAAAGTCATTCTCTCCCTTATGGTACTGCAGGATCTTATGTTCCTAATGCTTATCTCAAAGTATCAGAGACAGTTTTTATCTGCCTTTCTCTTAACAGTGAGTTCCCCTAGAGTAGGAATCATTCATAAACATGAATTCATGTTTATACTCCGACACTGAAGAGGAAGCAACAGAGGAAAAGCCAAAATGACTTGCAATCTCACATTCACATGTGCTATGGGTCTGTCTTCTTTCGGGGAAATCACTAACATCTCCCTCAGAGTAATGCCTTCCCATTTCTCAAGCCAGGTAACTGACAAGAGCTTCATTCTATGTTCACAACACAGACAGTTTTGGTGGTGGGTCAAGAGGAAACAGATATACGTATGTATGTATTTATGTACATATTTAGAGAGGGAGCTTTACTCTTGTTGCCCAAGCTGGAGTGCAATGGTACTTTCTCAGCTCATTGCAACCTCCTCCTCTCAGGTTCAAGCGACTCTCCTGCCTCAGCCTCCTGAGTAGCTGGGATTACAGGCATGCGCCACCACACCCAACTAATTTTTTCTGTATTTTTAGCAGAGAGAGGTTTTACCAGGTTGGCCAGGCTGATCAGGAGACCTCAAGTGATCTGTCCACCTTGGCCTCCCTAAGTGTTGGGATTACAGGCGTCAGCCACTGCGCCCAGCCCAGTATTTTTATTTGAAAGGTACTCACTGCTACTGAATATAATAGGCTACCAATACAGATGAAGCACTACTGAAATAAAATTAAACTATAAACTAAAAAATAAGGCTGGGTGCCGTGGCTCTTGCCTGTAATCCCAGCACTTTGGGAAGCCAAGGTGAGTGGATCACCTGAGGTTGAGACGAGCCTGACCAATATGGAGAAACCCTGTCTTTACTAAAAATACAAAGTGAGCAGGGCATGGGGGCACATGCCTGTAATCCCACTTGGGAGGCTGAGGCAAGACTGCTTGAACCTGGGAGGCAGAGGTCATGGGGTGAACCAAGATCAAGCCATTGCACTCCAGCCTGGGCAGTAAGAGCAAAACTCCATCTCAAAAAAAAAAA